TTTCACTAAAGAATTAAAAATTCGTGGCAGTAAAAGTTAAGAATAAAAAAATTTAAAATTGCGGCTTCATAAGTTAGCTTAATTAACGTTTTAAATGTTTTGGTTGAAAATTCCATATGAAAAAAACAGTTTAGGAACTAGCTGTGTTCACAAAAAAGGTAGCAAATATGGTTTTCCTTAAGCTCATTTGAAAAAATTTCAAGTTCTACTTTAATTAACAAAGTTACAATGAATTTTAGAAAACTAGATATAACTTTTTGCTGTTTTATTGTTGATAATGATTTTTCAATGTAAAACTATAGCAAAACATAAGATGCATCTTGTTGCAAAAGAAAAAAATTAAAGTCTTTATGAAAAGCCTTTAAAATCGTAAAATGTTAAAAAGATTAACCAAGAAAATTGTAACGGTTTTAAAAATTCAAAATTCTTATGAAATTCTGAGCGAAATTGAGCAAAACATGTTGCTCACTTAAAATTTCATTGTTTTTGAGTTAATTTAACTCATTTTAATGCCTTTTACAGATACAATTTCTATAGAAAATGACTTTTTAGCTACTTATTAATTGTTTTCAGTCAATTAGAGTTAATATTTTTGGTTAAAAAGCGATTTATTCAACAAATTGAGTTTTAGTTAAATTAACTTAATCTATTCAGTTTTTTGAAGTCACAATACGATGTTTTGATAGAAAATATCAAAATCTACAACTTTTGTAAAGATCTTGAACAACCAACTTGCTTCCTTCATATGAAAAACTCTACTTTAAATATTAATTTGTTAATTAAAGTAACTTGTAAAGTCGCCATTTTTAAAAATAAAACAAAAAGTTAAACTTTCTGAAATCAACTATCGACCCGTGAAAAAATCATTAAAATTGGATGCTGGCAAGCAGAGAAATCAGCATATAAAGTTTTTTTCCCTTTTTTTCTGATCTTGCCCTAATAGTATCAATCAAAACATGACCTATTTAGCTGTACAGTAATTTGATGTTTAAGAAAAAAAATACAAAAGAAATTTAAACGTCTTTTTAGAATAAAAAATTATCAAAATAAAATAAATTATGAACGTTAAGGGGGGGGGGGGGGGGGGGGTGAAAAAAGTCGTTTTTTTTTGCGTAACGTAATAAGTGAACGGCCCTATATTAAAACTACCAAATCAACAGAAAACTGATTATTAAGTCTTAAAAATTCAATTGAAATCTGAGCATTTTTACAAAACTTAAACTATTCATAAGTTAAAAAGTCTTCTAAAGTCTTCTCTGAAACCTTTATATATATATATATATATATCAATTGTACAAGCTTAAATCTACCTCCCATACTAATATGGTCTTGCCGTATTCGAGATATTTGCGTTCAAAGTTTACATAAATTTTCATACAAAACTTGGACCTGCTTAACATTTTTTGATAAACTTTTATATACTTTTGCTAAAAAATCATGTTTATTCTTTATATTATGTACTGAGTTTTTGAGCAATTAATGAAAACATTATGGAGAAGATGCTTAAAACATCAAATCAAAAGAAATTTACAAAAACTTTCAATGTTCTAATGTGTCGGAAAAATATTGTGCACAAGAAATTTTTATTCACTCTTTTCAAATCTGAATCATTGTGAATTTCAAGTCGTTGCTAAATTACTAATTCCAAAATCCATCTTTAAACTTAAAACTTACTTGTGCATCTTGACTTTAAGGTCGGCAGGAGCAGCATTGATTTCTTTTTGAAGTTCAAGCGTTAGTTGAACCACATCAAGCATAAAATAATGCACATTATGAAAGCTTGCATGAACTTGGTGCTGTTTTTGTTTTTAATTTTCCGACATTTGGCATTCAAACTTGCAATAAATCTCAACAAAACGAAGGAAAAAAGGTCAGCAAATGAAAATAAGCTGGCATTCTTCAATCATTCGACATTTCCCCTTCATCATCATCATCGATTCATTATTGGTAACAAATGGAAGAAGTAAAGTTCTCATGAGATCCGGCATTAACTTTTTCTTTCACTAACAATACAAGCAAGCATTGCTGAAAAAGTAGCACAGCAGAGATTCCTCATTGTACCATTAAAATATTCTCGAGAATTTAATTATATCTGGCCAAGAAAATGACTCAATATGTTTGTAAAACCAGACACAATTCAAAATGTATATTTGAGAATCGTGGTTGATATTTTTCTTCTTCTTCGTATTGCCATTTGCTTCCCTCTCTTCTTACTATTCCGGCTTGTTTCCATTTCTTTTGACCTCAATTTCTTTCTTTCTTTACCATGTTGTGTGTGATTCACAGCATTTAATTCTTGGTGTTATTTTTATATACCAACCTACCGCCTATATGTATTTTAAAATTACACGATTTAATATTATCATCATCTTTACGAGCGAAATATAACTAAAGATATGAAAAGCGAAACGTGATTAAGCTTTTTCTCGTGAACATCCAAGACAATGTTGTATTCTAAATAAGAATGTCTTGAACTTTATAATTCAACATACTTTTCTAATTCCAAATATATATTTTCATCTGTGCTCATTTCTAAGAGTCAGTTCTACATTTTTTTAGCATGATTTTTCGGCTGACTTGTGTTCATTTTGGATGCTTTTTATAAAAACTAGGCCATATTGAATATTCATGTTTGTCACAAAAAGCTTGTGATCTACTGAAGATAATGCTTGCTGCTAAAACTAGTTCTGTAATGAGTAAAATATGTGCAATTAGAGTATCTAATGCTTCCTATAGCAGTCACACGTCATGAACAGTTAATTATAGATAAAATGTACATTTTATAGATCCTTATTGATTGCTTTTGTGAGGCTTCTGATTGTAATGTCCACAGATTGTAAACATCATGTTTGTTTTAAGACATCTGAGCCCCAAAATGAATTTTTAACTTAATTAAGAAGTTTCAAGCCCCGCGCACAAAAACGTGGAAAATTTATTATTAAATTAATTAAAGTGTTCAAGTCGTTATTAGTTGAAAAAACCTTCTTAGTAAGTGCCAAGGGTTGTGTTTTCCTCAAGGACAATGAGGAAAGCCAAAAGAAAGCAAGATTTGTCGCCAAAAATTGATTTGGACGAAAGTTCAAGCAAATCTAATGAAAATTCCAAGAAGAGGAAGCAAACGCCTCAGAAAGAGGAATCATCGGTTCCAGTCACAACAACAACTTCAGTCAAGCCAATATTTGTGCAATGCAGTCTCAAGGATGTGAGAAAATTAATTTCACTATTGAAATTGCAGGTTATGCCTGCATATAAAATTTCATCATCAAATACAACTCAAGTAATTGTCAAGTCTATTGAGGATAAGGCCTCAATAATAAACCTTCTGCGGTCTCAAACTATTCAATTCCACACCTTCTCCGAGAAATCGGAGAAAACAAAGTCATTCGTTCTGAAAGGATTTTACGAAACACCAACGAATGAAGTACTAAGATTACTTCAAGAAGCCAAGGTTTCAGCTGTCAAAGTGACAATTCTCGTCAAGAAGCCCGAGTTCACCTTTTATCTTGTGCATTTTCAAGATGAAAGTGTGAACATCAACGTGCTCAATCATAACCACCGCAACATCGACAACATCATCGTCAAGTGGGAGAACATCAAGAAGGGCAACAAAAGCCCAACGCAGTGCTTCAACTGCCAACGTTGGGGTCACTCATCTCAAAATTGTGGATATAAATTCCGATGCGTCAAGTGCACGGAAGTTCACGGACCAAATCAATGTCAACGATCCACTCGTGATGGAAATGCCAAGTGCATTAATTGCAATGGCGATCATGCTGCCAGTTATAGACTGTGCCCATCGTTCATTTCGTATTCCAAAAGAATCGAAAAGTCAAGAGCCAAACCACAACTCAAAATGCTGCCACAGATATCAAGTCTTTTGGACAGTAACAATTTTCCATCGTTAAGCAAACGACATCAAGTTTCTGCTCATTCACATCCAGTGAATGCTGCAAGTAACTCATCAGCAACATTTAAAGAAGAGATTAATCAGCAACAACTGATCAATAATATCAGTTATGCAGAGAAACTCAACGAAGCAGTAAAGAATGAAAGCCTTTTCAAGAAATTCACAGAAGCTCAAGAACGTCTAAAGAGAATCCACAACATTGAAGAAGCAATAAATCAGTTCTGCAGTTTCGTCGACGAAGCCGGAAAGATCCCAAAGGATGCACCTCAAGGAACTGCATTTAAACTCATGGTGAAGTATGGCTTCATGAACTGCCCACCAGCACCGAACAAGCCAGTTCAAAAATAATTTATTAACGTAGTTCATAAGCTTAAAAAAAAAGCTTTTTTTTTTTTTTTTTTTTTCTCGCTCGGCAACTTTTTTTAAACTTTTTATGCCACATTTTCATGATATATGTAAATCTCATTCATCAAAATTAATAATTAATCAAGATATAGTTGAATTAAAGCCATATTCAGGCTGGTGTCAAAATAAGACTCAAAGAAATGTAACTTAAACTACAATAATTCCAAATTTGAAATAAAGAAAGATTTATTTATTTAACTTAATTATTTCTGAACCGTCATTTTAAATTTGAATTTTGTTTTACTTTTTTACTAAACGCACAAAGTTCAAAAATTCAAAAAAAAATCTACTAGTTCAAATTTTTAAAAACCGTTAAAAAATAAAATTTGTATTTAGCCATTCAAAAAATCGCTTTTTGGCATGCACAGCCTAATGACTTAAAACAACATTTAACGTTTGACTTTTTTTTTCGGTTGAAAAAGAATAAATCAGTGGAGATAGAAAGAGAATAAGTTGGTCACGAAATAAAAAATCGCAAGTGTCCTACTTTACAAAGTATAACAATGATGTTAGACATCTAAAGAAAGAGAAATGCCCTAAATATAAAGGAACGATGGAGGGAAAGGCTTATAACTTTAACAATGATAGACGAATTTACTTTTATTGTCTATTTCCATAGCTATGCTGTATCTCCATTTTTGGATTTAGACATGAAACATTTATGGACATTATAAATTGGAAATGCTTTCTTGCAGCATAAAAAAATAATATAATTCTGTACATTAAATTAAAATAAAATTTGCACTGTAAATCATAATTCTAAATATGTAGGAATTGACTTTAAAGCCAAAGCACACAAAGTTTAGGTATAATATTTCGTTACTTCATCACTAATCTTTTCAATTGTCTCTTCAGCAACAGTTACAAATCGTTTCTGTTGCCGACTAAAGTAGTAAATATCTCCAGTATAAATATCAAACCAAAGCGCGTGAATGTGCAGGTCGAATTGCTCTAAACGTTTCTTTAAAAATCCATAGGAAGCGACATTCTGAAGTTGTTGTAACGTGTTGATTTGTGATAATTTATCTTCGATCGCAAACTTATTGTCCGGATCGATGTAGGCAACAAATTTCCTTAGTGGCGTTTCTGCTGTGAACATTAATGGCTTCTCAAAACCTAATATTGATAATAGACAAGAACATGACAGGATGACATACACAATTTGAAAATTAATTAATCATTTACCATGCTCTTGGAGATATTGAAACTTTTCGAGACTTGTACCAGCATGTGTTGCAAGCCAACTTCTCAAAGGCGATAAGATTCTGTTTTTTCTCGATGCAAATTTCGAGCATTGAAGCTGATACAGTAAGTTGATTGCCTTACAATCACTATGTCCACAAACGATGATGTGTCGAATGTTATTAACTACACAGCCTAACTCGAGACCAGCTGGTTCACATGAATAGTACTCATCTTGGAAGAAATGACTATGAGGCACTAAATTTCCAGCATTACGAATCACCTAGATGATAGAAAAAAATAACCGTCATTAAAAATTTGAGAAGTAACGGTTTCAAAAAATTTGAATTCGAAAAAAACAACTGAAAAAATAACGACCCGTTCTCAAAAATGCTGAAAATCCAGCTATTAAGCCATATAGACGACACACTAAGCTATCAGAATGTCACAATAATGTGTAAATTTAATCACTTTCTAATCTGATCAAATCAGTTCCTTATCTAATCTAATCATCTCTAATTTACAATGAACTGACATCGGAACCAGAACATAACGTCACGCAGTCAATGTGGAGGCGTGTATTAAATTCCAGAGATAAAATTCTGACGAATTTCACACAAAACTCATGATTTCTACAGAATTGAGTTCTTTTTGTGGTTGTCAAGCAACCGCAATTTCCAATACTTAATTACTTACAAACATATCACCAACATGTGTATCAGTAAATCTTGTGGGTATCATTCGAGAATCCATACATGTGAAAAAGCTGGAAAAAGTCATAAAATTAGCAATAAGCTTAATAAGTCCGATAAGCATGATAAATTGACTTACACTGCTTTCGGTTGGGGGTTATCACGTACTTTTCGGAATTCTTCGACCATAGTGGCTCTTGTTGTGTTTCGGTACCGCATGATTCCACGCAATATTCGGTCCATTTTTCTGTGAATGATTAGAAATGTGATGATGATATTTAGTAAATGCCTTGAATCATTACTTTGAATTGATAAGGCTTGGATTTATTTAAATCTTAGGATCAAATTTTGAATCTTCGGATTAGTCATTGGATTTAAATGTTTAATCTTGAAATTTATTTAATTCGAGATTAAATCAATTTTGGATTATCCTTTAAAGTCAAATCTTTCAGTCATTTCCGACAATAGTTTCAAAAATAGGAAATTCTATTGTACTAGGCTGATAATCATATGAATGACAATAAAGCTGTTAAAAGTGCAACGCCGGTACTTTTTGATAAATGTCAATAAACTTTTTTTTTATCAGAAGCTCGAATATCAATTTTATCATTTGACAGCTGCTACTAGATCCAGCAATTAAAAGCATAAATAAAGATCTATTAATAGCTACTTGATGCCTTGATTCATGGCTTCATACAGTCGATTCTGAGATAAATAATCAACAAGTTGCACTGTATTTATTTGCACAATGATTTGCGGACTTATTGAGCATGAAGGCTCTTTAAATATTTCCAGATTCACTGTATCACTAATAGCTAGTCCAAATACCCGAAATCACATCAAAATCCATAATAACAAACATAATTCTTTCATAACAATTTACGTCAATGAACAGAAGAATCAAAAGCAGATAATTTATGCCATTAAATTTTTGTGACTATAAAGCTTTAAGGTCAATATGACTCACCTTGAAATTTTGTTAACTAAATTCACTTAAGGATCTAATCTTAATTTGAGTACAAAAATAGTCTTGAGCTTCTTTATTTGCACATAATTAAATCATTTTATAAAAAAATGGGTTCTTAAAGACCTGTTTGATGTATTTTTTTTTCTAAACTGAATTGGAAGCAAAGTCTCAGTAAATTGACTTGCACTGGAAATATGTTTTAATAAAAATTCAACGTTACAGTAATTAAAAAGACGAGGAGTTATGGCATATAAAATTGTAGAAAGCAACAAAAGTATAATTATAAGTCTAATTTATTGATGACTGATAAAAAAATAACATATATCCTTGAGATGGTGTCACAATTTACATGTACATGTTTGATTTTCGTATTATTTGCTTTTTTTGGAAGAAACGGAAAGGATTAAATTAGTCATTTGGTCTGTAAGTGACATCATCAATATCTCCAAAACAGAAACAATTAAATCTTTTGATATCAATTATAATTCATCGAATAAGATGATAACGAATTGTTAACAGGATTCTCCAATTCCTCAAAGTACTTTCGTGCATTCCTAATATTTACTAGTGTAGCTTCTGATGGTGTGTCTGGGTCCGCTGATTGCACTACCATTCTATAAATGAATTAAAACTCTTAATAAAAACTTAATTATCAACTTCCAGTAGACTTACATATATGTGTTGCTTGTAAAGGTGTCAATAAATGAGGCAAATCGGCTGTTCCTTACTTCCATTGATTGAAATTTCGCACCAAGTTTTGCGCATGAGAGTTTGAACTGTTTAATGATATTCGAGACCTTCTCAAATCGATGTGAATCCGAGTGATGCTTAAGTTGACAATGTGAGATGACTAAGAATGTAGCACGTTCAAAGAGAAGTACTTCATCAGCATCAAGAATGGTGGCAAATTGATGTAATGAGCTTTCGATTGCTTTAACGTTCGGTATTAGCTGATAAACTATGCTTGACCATGCTCGATAAAGAGTCTCATCCCAAATGGATGTACGAAAAGCTTTACATTCCAATGGTAAACTGAGCTTCTTCAAATCATCTTGTCGTGTCTTGAAAATTGAGTCCCTTTGATCTTCAACGATGAGATCCATCTTGTGAATTAGACAAAAGATTTTAGCATCTGGCGAATAATTGAGGATAGCTTCTAGGCATGACTGATAGTAGTGCATATCTTTATCAAATTCTCTAGATTCAACATCAAACACATAAATCAGCACTTCCACATTCCTAAATATGTTCTCCTTCTGTGACTGAAAATATTGGTCCATGTATGACTCTTGTCCACCACAATCCCACAGATTGAGCACCAAATTGCCGAGGAATCTGACATGAGAATGTTCAACATCTACAAAAAGGCAAGTGCAATGACTGGTATTAAAAAGGTCACAGAGATAAAGATATTAACGAGGGCTGTTCGTATATTTTGTAACGATTAGAGGAAGGGGGGTATCAAATCTTTCTGATTTCTTTAATACCAATGAGTGTGGGAGTTGGGGGGAGGGGTTAAAAGGGACATTATTAGTGTTACAGAACATGCGAACGACCCCGTTTAACTTAGTTTATTCACCTATTGTTGCGCCTAATCGTCTTGTATCACGAGCAATGTAATTAGCAAATATTATCGATCTCATCGATGTCTTTCCACTTCCGCTCTTTCCCATCAATAGAACCTAATCAGATTAAGTGTAATTAATAATTGATTTTTGGATTAATTGTCAACTTTTCTTAATTTTCAAGGACATGTTTTAATCTCACCTTTTTCTTCATGTTTTCGATGTCACTTTGTATTAATTACACTTTATTAACAATCACAGGATATATTACTTAAAAGTTATTGAATAAATTTGATTAAATTCTTAAAATTATTTTACACAAAAATTCTATTATTGATAAACTCGTAGAAAGATCGCTGAGTGAATGGATGCATGCAGCGCATATTCAGCAAGTTGAGCTTTTGTTTATCAATTGAAAGTTGTAGAATATGTCAATTTCAAAACTTGGAAATTTATTTTAGAAATTTAACGTGTTTTGTAATATTTGAAAATTCATCTGACAAGCTAGTCAAATAGACAAATTGAGCACAATTTTTTGAAAACATCTTAAAAACAAAGAAGAAATTTGAAATTTAAAAAACGGTTAATCTTCAAAAGAAAGTTTTGAAAATTTCATGAATTACTTTAATTTCATCAGGCAAATAATCACTTAAATTAAATGCAACTTCAAAGTACGCAAGTAAATTTCAATATATCAAAGAATAGCTGTAAATATCAAGAGAAAAATAATATATTGTAAAACTTTTAACTGAAAAAATTAGCCCCAAAAATCACAGCCGTAGAAAAAAGAATTTTGGCAAAAAATATTAAAATTGAGTGTAATTGTGGCTTAAAAAAGTATAATAAATGTTTAATAAGCAAGAATCAACGCTATATAGTTCAAGGATCAATCATTAAGGATCAGAGTCTGTGATAATATCACATTTTTTGATAAAAATGAAATAAGTGACGAGAAAAAAAAATAAAAAGAAGAAAAAAAAACTTTTCATCAGAAACTTTATAAAAAGAACTCAATAAGAGATCCTAGTGAATGCAGTTAACTGAATTAAGTTCAGGAAGGATTGTAACTGTGTAACGAAAGTGACTAATTGTTTGCGACGCTAGTAAAATAATGTCAAAATTTCCGATTATGAGCTTTAGATGGATTTTTCAATTATTAAATAAATTGTGGCTATTCCTCTCATATCTATTAAACAAACAATTCAGAAAAGTGCTACAATATCAACCCGTAAAATACGACTTATATCCTTTGTCGCCAGGTACAATTATTGATAGCTTTAATTAATGCTCGATTTTACAAATGAATGTATATTTTCAGTGTCAAGGCATCGCTTAAGTCTAGTTCAAAGGAAAACGTTGGTGCTGGATTTAGACGAGACATTAATTCATTCGCATCACGATGGTCTTCCTAGAAATCCTAGTATCAAGCCTGGAACACCTCATGACTTCTCTGTAAGTATAAAACTGCTGTATTTCACAATAAACACCTCGATAGAGTCGAAGAAGGAAGACGACGAAAGGAATAATAAAAAGAAGAACAATCACTAGCACTTACGAGCTCGTAACGGGCGCCTTTGAATTTAACAATTTAGCTATGTCTAGAACCGAAAACAAAGATCCAGTAAAGTCTGAATCAAGTTTGGAACCTAATAAGCTATGATTGAAATTGAAAAGAAAAATGCAGCAAGATGAATCTTATTTGGAACCAAAAATTAAGATCCAGTAAGATCTGAATCTTATCATATCCAAAAGCATAGATTCAGTCTTGCAATCACGCAATCAGCATATTAAAAAGCTATAGTAGAGACACAGACATATAAAACAGAAACTTTCACTTATCGACATTTATGTGCCACAATCATTTGCCTATCTATTGCAATTATGTTAATGAAATATGTGTAATTAATTGAGTGCATTATTTTCTAGGTATCTGTAGTCATTGATCGACATCCAGTTAGATTTTTTGTTCACAAACGACCTCATGTAGACTTCTTTCTAGACATTGTGTCACAGTGGTATGATTTGGTTGTATTTACCGCCAGTATGGAGATTTATGGAGCTGCTGTTGCAGACAAGTTGGACAATGGACGAAATATATTGAATCGAAGGTGCGCACAAATTAGAGAAACACAAAATTATGAGAAAGATAAAAAAGACTGAAGATATTTTTTGCTTCTATTTATAGATATTATAGACAACATTGTACACCAGATTTTGGTTCGTACACAAAAGATTTATCGGCAATATGTAGTGATTTGAATCGAATATTTATCATTGATAATTCACCTGGAGCTTACAGACGCTTCCCAAACAACGCCATACCAATTAAGACGTGGATATCAGATCCGATGGATATTTCTCTTCTATCACTCTTGCCATTACTGGATGCTCTTAGATTTACAAATGATGTTCGTTCAGTGCTCTCGAGAAACTTACATCTTCACCGTGTATACTAATCTTTTTTCGTATCGTCATCAATTTAAAAAAAAAGTAAAATCACAAAACAAAAATGAGAATAGCTTAGGGCTCGTTCACTTATTACGTAACGCAAAAACGAGTTTTTAGACCCCCCCTCCCCCCCCCCCCCTGTAACAAAGCGTAACAAAATCTTAGACCCCCCCTCCCCCCCCCCCCATAACGTAACAATAATTTTTTTCATTTAAATTGTTTATCAAATGTTTATTATACTTCCTTTTGGATTTGCTTTTTGTAATTTTCAAATTTTGAGAAATCGTTGTTTTTTTAAATTATTTTTGCATCAAAATTGTTTACAAAACTTTTATTAAATATTTTAGCTTTTTCTTAATTTACATCACATTGATCCAAACAAAATATTTTGAGATTTCAAAACATAATTCTAATAAGAGTAATTCCATGAGTAAAAAAAGCGCTTTGAAAATTAAATTTTTTTTTGATAATTCTCTAAATCTTGAAATTTTCTTTGATCTTATTGCTTATACATCTTAAAAAATCAATTATTCATCGTTTCTGATGATAATCAACTGATTTAAACATGTCTAATTAAAAATATTTTAACTTTTTTGTTGTTAATATGTTATCATTACGAAAAAAGTGCTAAGAATTTTTTCCAAGATCAGCATTAACATAACCAAGCTATTTTCTTGATGGTTAGCTTTGAAAAAACATTAATTGCTGAAAAATAACTCCTTCTAGTAGCAGTGAAATATGTTTATTTAGACAAAAAAAATATAAATCATAACGAAAATTTTGTGCTTAAAAATTAAAGTTCCCTTCATTCATGGAATTGTTCTTTTATTAACTCACTTTTATCATTTTATCGATGAAAAATAAACAGTTTTACTTATAACTAAAAAGTTCTTAAGTTAAAATTTAACTTTAAAAAAATTTAAAATTAATATAGAAAAAATTATAAAAAAATATAATTTTTGAAAAGTTACGTAACAAAATTTAGACCCCCCCCCTCCCCCTGTAACAAACCGTAACAAAATCTTAGACCCCCCCTCCCCCCCTAGTGCGTTACGTAATAAGTGAACGAACCCTTATACAGTAGCTTGTTTAAAAAACCATAACAATTCTTTTTTTTTCTTAATATAATGTTAGTAAATGATTGAATGAAAGAAATAGCACGTATGGTGCGTGAATTTAACAACATAATGTTCTTTTCAATTATGTTTTTATATTAAAAACAAGAGAAAATCATCCTTTATATTATATTATTAATTAATTTTATGTCAGGCATCGGGTTTGAGAGCCACCGAAAAACAAAAACAAAAAATAACAAGAAGTGAGGTACAGAACGAGAGGATTAAGAGGTATAATGTAAAATTGACTCTTGAAAATGATGATTTTAAGCCTAACGTTGTTGATTGAACGTTAGAATCTTTATAAATATAAAAAATGTTTCCCTCTGTAAATAGTTCACACTTAAAAAAGCAAACACATGAAAAATATATAAAATTTAAGACGATACAAATTTTTTGATGTAGCAGGAACAAGGATCAAGTTTCCATTCTTTTTTCTATAACAAGATCGATCATGTATCGTGTGTTTTTTTTAAAACAAAACATTGAATAAACATCAATCATAATGGTATTTGATTAAAAAATTAGGAAAAAAACTATATTTCGCAGTATAGATACTTGTAATGGTTAAGTGCATTTCATTTGAGAATAAAATTTCTTAAATTAAAAACATCAGAATAAGATATGTATAAATGTGAGGAAATTTCCCTATTAAATATTTGATTTTTGGGCTTTTAAACTTAATTTATCCATTTTTTAAAGATTTGGGAGAAAAACGGTTTGAAATTGTTTTGAAAATTATGATTTTGAATCTTTATAGTCGAAAAACCGTTGAAAAATTTCAAAAATTATGTCAAAAATCATTTGGATTCAAATTCAAATTTTTGAACACCGTTACAAAATTATTCAAAATTGTCACAAAAAAGATTCAAAATAATTTTAACCATCACTTTTTAAATATCAAAACCGTTCGAATCTTAACAATTTTTGTTCGTTCTATTATTAAATTTTGCAATATTTGAGAAATATTTTTGGCAAGCCCTACTCATGATACTTATTTCTCTATTAAAATTTTATTTCCTTCCTCTCATTATTCATACAAAAAAAAGTGAAAATTTTTATGAGAAATTACACAAAAACAATTTTAATTTTTCATCTTTTAAAAATAGTCACAAGGATTCGTTTGATAATACTTAAGTGATGATATAGAAATAAGAAGAAAATTTTGAATACCAATAATAGTTTTAAACGACACTTAATTGAATTGCCACCTTTTGTGTAATCCTGAAGAGTTTTGTGATGATCAGCAGTTGGTAGATTGAGGATATGATTTTCGAGATTTTAGTTAATAATATAGATGCTCAACAGTTCTAACGCGCTGTGACCGAATTTATTATCATCAAAAAATTAAATAATATTGGTTTATTAAAGAATTTTAAAAAAGTGACTTTTATGTCCAAAAACAAATTTGTCCCCCGAACATTTTCTTCACAAATTTTACATAATGCATAAAAAAAAATCTTTAAGATTCATCTTAATGGAAATAAAAAAGTGGATAATGATAGAAAATATGAAGCATGCTTGTCATTTTTTATTCATTGCAGGTTTTACTACGGAATGTCGCTTGACCGATTCACTCAGCCATTTAATTGCATCGTCAATTCCATCTCCCGTTAATCCTGAGACAGCAATTGTACGACAATCTCTAGATCCAACTAAACTGTAGTCATCAAATTCCATCATAATCTCCTTGATTCTAATTGACTCTTCAATGTCTTGTTTATTTGCTACGATTACTAAAGGAATTCTGTTTGTTTTCTCATTTTTGAGCATGTTCACAAATAGCTCTTTTGATTCCTGGATCCTTACTCGGTCGCTGCTGTCAATCACATAGATTATGCCATGAACTCCATCATAATACTAGAAATATAAACTGTATAATCTATCAACTATAACTGCTAATCCATATCTCATACCTTTTTCCATAAATGCTGTAGATCCCGTTGACCACCTGAAAGAAAAGTCATGAATTAAAACTTGAATAATCAACAATAACTTAGCACATGCCTAAATCAAAAAAGTTCAATCGAATCTTATCAGTCACAATTTCTCCTAAATTCAATCCTATTGTCGGTGGGATATATTTTAAATCCATACCTCTATATCCTTTACTGAATCTCTTTTTGATTGACTCTAAGAATGTTGATTTTCCTTCGTAAGTTAATTGAATTAAAAGAAAAGCCATTAACTGATAAGATAGCACTCATACCTGCATTGTCTAAGCCTAGTATCAAAACATTATATTCATTAATTTTTACGCATTCGTTCCATAAACCTGAGATTAAGTGATACATATCGGACTGAAATTCTTAATTAAGAATAACTGTCATTACAAATTTGAAATTTGTGCAGGAAATTCAAAATTTGAAGATGAAATTTAAAAACTCGATTTTCTCGATTAAAAGTCATTAATTCAATGTAAACTTACTTTTATGATAAGTAGAATTATTCAATATTTACTAAAAAACTATTGAATATGATGGAGTATTCTTAAAATCCTATAAAATCACTATTTGTTGTATTTTGAAAAAAGTCGAAGTCAATTTTGTGAACACACTCATTGAAAGTGGCCCTTTGTTTACAAATAAAAAATTAAAATTTCAAAAAATAATAATTAAAAACTTTAAATAACTCGATAATTAAGCTATATTACTAAGATTGCAATACAAGAATGGATTACGAATGCGAAATAAGTCTTCTAAGGAGCAAAAGAAAGCACGTGACATTAACAATTCAAGAGAAGTAAGTAAAATTATAAAATTCAATAAACAACAATTAATTACAATGTAAATAACTCCAATTATAGACTGGATATAATAAATCTAGTTGAATCAGGTAGTTGCTCGAGACAAACGATAGCAAATAGATATGGAATTGGAAAATCCACAGTACATGATATTCATAAACGCAAAGATATTCTTAAAAATTTCGCAATCCAGAATTCAACGGAAGTAGCTAAGAGAAGACGAGTAGATATTAAACTAGAGAGCAGTAAACCTGATGAAAGCTATCTCTATAAAGAGGAATCAAATGGAATCGTTGAAACACTTGTTGAAAATTTTGATCATGAAGAATTCGATTATAATGATGAAGAATATGAGATTGTGTACGAGCCAGTTTTATGCAATAGCGATGAAATGATCAACACAAAGCCAATGATCGTAACCCCTTTAAAACATCTTAACGAAAGCAGTGCTAAAAGAAAATCAAAAACGCTTACATTAAAGGAGAAACATGATATTCTGATTCAACTGGATGAAGGAAAGTCAGTTTCTGCGATAATTAATAAATATGGCATTGGACGGACTACGTTATATGATTTAAAGAAGCAGAAGCAAAAGGTTTTTGAGTATATAGAAAATTCATCAGGCGAATCTCGACGTACATTCAAAAAGTCAAATTATCCCGAAATTGAGGATGGCTTACTATATTGGTGCTATACACAAGATGATTTCACAGAACAAGAGTTTTTCGAAAAGTACAAGCAACTTTTTGTACAATTAAAGTCGAACAATTCACGCATTCAAACTCCTTTTACTGGAAGTTGGTCTTGGTGTAAAAGATTCTTTGAACGACATCCAGAATACAAGAAAAAGTTGACAGCATCCAGTAAACATTTGAGAGCTTCATTTAAGCAAGAAAGTGGAAATAAGACAAGTGATAGTGAAAAGTTCTATAGTGAAACAGAAAGTTTTATGGACGATGAGCCAGATATCATTAAAAATACTCCAAACAAGAAAAATGTCAATTATTTAAGGCTCGATCAGAAAATGCAAATACTTGATGAAGTCTCTGCTGGAAAGTCAATTTCAGATGTGACAACAGACTTTAATATCTCAAAATCAACAGTTTTTGATATCATTAAGAAGGAAAAAGTGATTCGACAGCAAAGCTCAAACCACGAAAATGTCTTAAAACGAAAAGTGATTAAACAGAAGCCTCAGATAGACAAGCAACTAGTCACTTGGTGTCTAGATCAAGAAATCTTCCCAAATTATATTTCAATTACCAATAAAGCTTTGGAGCTTTTTGAATCTATGGGCATTAAAGATTTCAATCCAACAGGATGGACCGAAAAGTTCCTCGAAAGAAATCCTGAATTAAGTAAAAAGTATGAAGAAAGCAACACAAAAAGCAGCAGCACATCAATATGTGAAATTACTGATGCTGACCAGGAAAATTCAATTGAAAATGTCGATGATGAATCTTTAGAGTTTATTGAAGCTGATTTCTTGAAATCGGACCCAAAAATCGCCGAGAACGATGAGTATGGCAATGAATACATTATTGAGGAACTAGACGAGAACAATTTGGATGAATTTGAATCTCAAAATGGTTACGAGCAGGAACAAAAAGAGACAAAACTAAAAGATGAATCAATCGTGACTGAAGAAGAAGCTTTGAGTAGCTTGAAAGTACTAATTAAATATGCAGAACAGAAAGGACATGATGAAATATCGCGGCTTCTATTAGAATATCAGGAAATAATTGAGGAGGAGAATCAACGTGTTTCCGATACTTAAAACTTCATATTTTTACTGCATCAGACTGAATAGCTTTAAAGAAATGGATATTGTAAAAACTGTGCCATTTACTGACTTATATAAATTGCCTGTTGACTTACATTTTAAGGTCATTTATCCCATTTTATGATATTCTTACTTTCTGACTCATTTTATGTTCGGCAATTTAGGTAAATTGTTTCGGTATCGCTCGCATGTTTCACACGTTTCTTGAAGTATTGAAGCAATTTTTTTTTATCATTTCACTTTCGTTCTGTTGTCTCGTGGTCATTTATTGGGCAAAAAAAGTTAATATGATAAGGGGCCGTTCACTTATTACGTTCGCATTTTAGAGGGGAGGGGGGGGTTTGAAAAATTGTAACATAGGGGGGGGGGGGGGGGTGAAAAAAAGTTGTTTTTTTGCGTAATGTAATAAGTGAACGGTCCCTAATCACTCGATGAATTATAGTCGATCCTCCGTTTTCAGAGAACTTTAATTAAACTTTGAATCTTAGAACAAGTAGAAATAAATATATCACATTTCAAGCTTTAAAATCATCGAAAACACAAAAGACGTGCGTCATGAAAATAAGATTAGGATCAACGCGATTGTAATTTTAATAGAATTACTAAAACAGCCTAACGTAAAAACTTATCAGCAATGTGAGATAAAAAGTTTTCACAAAAAGCTGACTGATCAGTTAATTATATTGTTGTATTATTTGACAATTTGAAACCTATTCAACGGTTCGAGTATGGCTATCAAATCGCTATGATTATTACCGAAAATAGTACTTGTTAAATACTTAACATCTACATTAACACAATACATTGATTATAGATTTTTTTACAAGTTATTTTATGCACATTTTGTGTTTAAATGTACACAACATATACGTAACGATTTATTGATAAACGTCTACTTCAGCTGTAGCACTGTATTAATGTAAGTAAACGGAATAAATTTAAAATTAAATATGGATAGACTTACAATTCAGTCGTTGTTAAAATCTTAAGCGGTACAGAAGCATAAGTTACTATTCTATTGTTTGTACTTATATACCTTAAAAATGAAGCTGTGGATCGCTTTTGCATATTTAGCAATCAACGTCTGTTTAACATGCAGGGTTAAAGTGAGTAACAGATAGATAATAAAATTGTATAAAGTGTTATGTAATGCTAATGATTAATCACTCGACCATGAAAATAGATCAAGATGGATATTTTTTACGAATCGCTGTGTCCGGATTCGATTAGATTTATAAGTGAACAACTTGGCCAAAATTATCAGAGTTTTAAGGATAATTTGGACATAACTTTCTTGCCTTTTGGAAAATCAAACGTAAGTTAATTTATTTACATTAATGCCAAATAAACTTAAATTTCTACAATTAGAGTTACCAAAACCAATTGGGAGGAATTGAGTTCGAATGCCAGCACGGAGCTGATGTAAGTTATTACAGATTTTATTGCCTAGACTACTTTTCAATGATCAATCTCGTTTTTCTTATTCTTTTATCTGCGTTGCACTTTATATGCATATAGGAATGCTTTGGAAATAAAGTACAAGGTTGTATGCTCAGTCGTATGCCACATCAAGATACACAAGTATCGTACGTTACATGTCAAATGCAAGTCGGTGCAGACCGAACGCATAAGGCTTGTGTAGAGGCTTTCGGTGTTTCGTGGGACGAAATTTTGCAATGCGTTCAAAGTGATTTTGCAACTAAGCAGCAACTAGGATTTGAACGTATAAGTGGCCCAGTTTTACAAAATACTAGATGGGTTCCAACAATTGCTTATAATGGTCAAATTACTGAATACTCACACAGTGGAAACAGCCCACCGTTGAAGGATGTTTTGTGTTATTATTGCTCAAACAGCAACCCAGCTTGCCAACAGCATTAAAATGATTCTTGGCTTTATATTAACGGATTTTTGGATACAGAAATGGATTAGAGAAATTTGTGAACCGATTCATTTTGATAACGTGCTTAAAAATTAATCTAGACTCTAGAGTAATACCTTCAAGGACAAAAGTTTCTTGTACTCAAACAGATACGACAATAAGTTAAGTGTAAATTAGTACAATCAGTAATGATTAATATTCAGTAAAATACGTAAAATCAATAAATTTTTGGATGCTCCAGAAGTTGATGATTTAAATATTAAGTGTTGCATTATTAAGCTCTCCCCATTTAAATTTTAAATATTCCGATATTCAAATTCAAATTTAAATTGACAAAATAATCTGAGTCATCCTGTTCAAGCTCTTATCTGCAGTAAAAATCTCATACTATAGACAAAATATTAATCAAGGACACATACTCAATCGTCTGTTCGGATAATAAGCCCTTTTTTAATCCGGTTTAATTGTTTCAATATAAATTTTCATGAAGCATTACTAGAAAATCTTTCGTTTATTGGCACTTCAAATGTCTACGGAATAAAAGAGGCACTTGAAATTAAAAATTAATTGCATGTACTTTAAGAATATATTGCTAATATTAATTTTGACTACACGAATAGCACACAATTATCGATGAAGTTTTTGATAAATTGATTTCTCAAATGTGCGTCAACTATCAAACCAGTTCTAGGTACATGCTTCTTTCCATTTGCTGATACACATTCGACATGTAAACAACTTTCCGACAGTTCTTAAAAGCAGTTAACAACGAAGGTTATTCATCATAATTTAGCAAAGAAGGAACACAAGTGCGATAAAATAAAATTCATCATAAACAACGATTGATTTAATCAATGGTTTGAGGTTTGAGTCAGTCGGTATCATAATCATGCTTAATAAATCATCACAAATTAAAATGTAATCAGAAAATCTTCTCATCAACACCTGTTTTTGTTAATGAGGGTCATTCATAAGTGAGGTCTGTCTAAAGGTAGGTTTAAGACCAGTGGTTCTCAAACTTTTCAGAATACAAAACACTAAATGTTTTAAGAAAATTTCGGGAATCATTACCATTTTAGGCTGCTGCTTATAAAAACCATTACTTTAGTTCCGGGGAGTATAGTTTGAGAAACACTGTTTAAGATCCACCCCCTCCAAAGATAAGTATTCTTCAAACCAATCATCCCATCAGTTATTCCAATGATTAGCTTAGTGACTCCCAATCAGTGCCATCACATATAATTGACCCCAAAGAACATGTAGGATCGATCAAATGATAATTATTACTCATAAAAAAATATCTCCAATCTGTGCTCACTCATTCATAAAATGCTTTTCTTTATACCTGTTTCTTCTTTCACTCTCAGTTTACTCACGAAAAAGTCACACATAAGACAATATGTATATAATAAGTAGCCCAAAAAAAAAGAGTCGGTCGCATGTAAAGTGAGAACGAATAGTAAGTTTCAGTGTTCTTTGAAAACTGTCACATAATGGACGTTAAAATCGCCTGTAAAATTATATTTTTGATGACGATATTTCTGTTGTCAGTGATAAAGTCAACGAGTTCCAGTGATAATGATAAAGTTTGTATAGCAAATTCCTTGATTTTGCTTCTTATTCCTAATTTGCCGATAATTGTCATTGAAAAAATTCTGATAATTTGAGAACAAAACAAACAAGCTTATTGTTGTGTTCATGCTTGACTTGATTCTCTTAAAAGTTTGAAGTTTTCTTAATTTTATTTATTTTATTTTTTTTTTTGGATGTCAGTTGAATATTGATGTTCTTTATGAGTCAAGATGCCCTGATTCGAAAAATTTCATGCAACGGCACTTAAAGCGAGTCTATCCGAAAATTAAAGATATGGTTAATTTAAATTATGTGCCATTTGGAAAGGCTTATGTAAGTTTAAAATTGAATTTTCCTTAAATTTGTAAGCTTAACTACTTCTTTGGTTCAATGATTAGAGTTACAGTAATAATGGTGGAATTAGATTCCATTGCCAGCATGGACAACGAGAATGTGACGGTAATATGTTTCAATCTTGCGTTCTTGATGTTATCGGAAGTGACAACCAAGATCTTCAGACTAATTTTGTAGTTTGTGCGATGGACTTTTCGAAAAATCCCCAAAACTGCGCCAAAAATATTGGAATCAACTTAAACAAGGTAGATGAGTGCATGGCGACTAACAAAGGTGTTCAATTGCAATTAAAAGCAGAAGAAGATTCTACAAAAATCATTCGACGATCGGGTTTTGTTCCAACGGTAAATCTTAATCGACCTTTTTGTATCATATCCTAAATTTGAAATTATTACTCTTTAAGATCGTCTACAATGGAGTTTACAATGGAAATGACTTTTGGGATTCTCTTGATGACTTTGATGCCATCGTTAGCAACAAATTGAGGTCACTTTGAAAGGAACTTAATGTGCCAATTGTCATATTTTATATGAATTAGCGATTAATAAAAATAATCTCATTCTAAAAATATATTTGCATGCTGTTTTACTTTCTCTTTTTCTTTTTAATAAAAATGTTAAGGTAGGTCATTCCTGAAAGATGTCAATAACTCTAATATAAATGTTTGAATTAATAAACAGGTTTTTTATAATCTTCAAGAATTGAAGTTTCAAAGGAATCAAATGGAATTAATATGCTTCAGGTGTCAGGAATTTCTTAGAGTTGGTCAGTGTTTAAATTGGAATTTTCTGCTTTGGATTGCCTCAGGCATTAAATAAATGAAGACTATTTATCTCTAGGTTTTAAAATAAAACAAAAAAAAATGTCTAAGTCAGCATTAAAATTTAAAAATATTTTGTCTCAAAAGTAAAACGAAACAAGAAGTATTTCATCGAACATCAGCTGTAGAATAAACTGCAAGCATGGGAAATTCTGGAGAGCAATGACCTCAATATATCAAGCTGGTAAGTTCTTTTGCTTACAAAATAGCTAATTAAGTTGAAAACAGTAAAAGTTATTAATTTTATGGTCAAATCGTGTATTAACTGAAGTTTTTAATATAAAGGAGCTTCGTTGAGACATGTCGAATTGCTCGAAATGCATAACAGAAGTCTACAAATAATCAAACATGGGAGCAGTCATGGAATGGTTTAAAAGAGTCAGGAACCTTCTGACGAATGATGTCTAAGTTTAAGAAGAGGATCCAAAACAAAGGTTAGTAACTGATCAATCAGTTTTTGAACTTTTAAATCAATTTCACAGTCTTTGGATACTCTGTATGAAACAAAATTGTGTTATCAAGTATAAAAGGAGTACAAAAATCTAATTTTCAAAATTCGTATCCAAAGACATCTTTTAAAAGAACTTTACAAAAACTTTAAATCTAAAAAGAATCGAAAGAATCTCTCAATTCAAAATCAACCTTTAACTTGATTTACGATAGTCACTTTCTTAATGATCAGCATCAATTTAAATTGATAGCCAATAAATCATAAAACAGACATCACTCTATTAAAATACATGATTTATATACCTATCCTATGGTCGATATAAATATTATCATCGTAGCAAATAAACAAACAAAAAATTACGTAAAAAATCGAGCGTTAAAATAGAAATTATTTATTTACAAAACTAATCAGCACTTCCAACGTGCGATGAAGAAGAAAATTCATGCTTTGAGGTGAAATGTGTAAAGTCATCACTGTTCTCCATTCCCCTCGTCATGTAAATACAAAGATAATCATTTCAATGTAATAGTATACACATTAAGACAGTTCTAGTTATGCCCGCTAGAGTTCGCATAGATCCAGGGGGCTTCGCGATAAATTTTGATCCAAATTTGGCGACTTAATTGATCATTCTGAATTAAGTCAATCGACCCTGACATTTCAAACAATGAGCAATTCAAAATGAATTGAATTCGAGTAGCTAAACATGATGGATTAATAGTCATAGACTTGTAACTTGATAGAGCAACAAGAGAACATCTCCCCCTGATTTTTTTTAGTTCGTGAAAAGCTACATATAGAGTGCGAACAGAAAAATCAAAAATGAAATAATTAATGCATTAAATCGTGTGTTTGTGATCTTATTAATTAGTTAACGCGTCCGCTTTTGATTAAACACCTTATTTTACGTGAAAAGTGTATCCGAAATTGAAAAGGTAAATCATTAAAAAGTGATGGAAAAAAAAATTATAAAAATTTTCTGATACCTACGAAAAAGTTCTTTTTTTTTATTATAATAATTTTCTCAAATCTATTTTCCTACGAAAAATCTCAAAATGTGATATGCTATAAAAAATTAAGGATTGTCAAAAAAGTTGTGAATTAAGTGAAATTTATTTAAATCCAAAAAATAAAAAAAAAAAGAAATAATTTTGTAAATTATGATAAATGGAATACGAAGTAATCAACTTCATAGGAGCTATTGTACATTAAGTATTAAGTGTAATTTAGTTGAAAGTGCAAAGATCGTAATTTAACACAAATTCGTACCATGTTGTTAGATAAAAAAAAATATAAAATTTACACAAACAAGCAATTGTATATAATACATAGTCATCATCCAAAAAGGAATATGCTTCAATTGAATATATGAAAAGGAACAAGAAGAAGAGATAGTGAAAAGAGAGAGAGAAAGAGAAAGAAAAAAAATCCATTGAGATCGAGTATGTGTGTGTGGAAAATAGAAGGAAAAAAAAAAGTTTCCTCATCATTCTTTTTCCGAAATAATGGTTTCACATCGATGTCGAGAGTCGAGCATAGTACACAAAATATTATATTATATGATGATGACGATGGATGACTAATATAAGTTGTCAAAACTGGCAACACTTACAATTCATATTTCAATTTGTAAAATTTCACAATTTCACCTACATTTCCCTTTGTCGGGAAGAGATGTCTGCTATGCAATAAGTACGATAATCCATTCGAATCTCGTCTCAGACGAAGAAATCTTGAGTGTGTCTAAAAATGCACGTTGGGCTTAAAATAAGTCTTCCAGAAAATGTCGTGCAAGCTGTAACGATTTCGAAATGGAATTTATGTCTTCAAAATGGAAATTCTTTGTCATGAAATTGTTTTTATTGCTCGATGGGCCAAAATTATTTGGCGACGATGATATTTTCCAAAAAGAAAATTTTCTTTCTAGAAACTTCAATGCAATTAGCTCTTTTGTGGCTGTTGGTATAGAGAATATTTGTGGTGGATAGGACTGAAGAGAGCTTTAATGTTAAAACTAGACAACAATGGGTCCTCGATTTGCATCAATTGTTTGAGACAGAATAACATTTCATGCAAATTGAAGACCTTTATGTTAAACTATGTCATAGTAAGCTAAAGACTCCCAGTGAGCTTAAAAGGCTAGCTTGAGTGTCACAAAAGCTTGAATAAGTCGAAATGATGATAGCTTGAAGCCTGATTCATGTTCTAATCCAGTTTGTAGATTCTTTACATTTCTGACTTGCACAAGATGAAGTCTTCGCCTTCTAAAACCTCAGATTTTTCAGAATAGCTTTATATGAAATTCATCCAGTTAAAAAATTTAAGCAAGTTATAAAAAACATTCAAAAACTAAAGCCTCAGAAAAAATCATCTATCCATAACTTCTGAATCATAAGATGCTTATTGAAATAAATCACTACGATAATGAACGGTAGTTCAAAGAATATTCTCAGCATTATACTCTTTTTTTCCCCGTGCTTCGATCAATTTACATTCTTATTCATAAAGTCATCGTCATGCTAATTACTTGCTGTTTCACAAGCTTATAGTACAAAACGAAAATCTTTCCCTTGGCCATTCACCACAAGTGCTCTGAACTTTAAGTCGTTTTTTGCCAATAATAATGATGCATAAGCAAATGAAGTGAGCATAAAGAATGTAATGAAACATTAATTAATCATACAGATGTATATTTATCTCGTTCTTTCTCTTAATTTACTTGTCTTGTTACATGCTTACATTTGTTTTTGACTTGACTTGGGTTGTGGGAACGGGAAGAGATTTATTAGATTTGGACTTGATATGAGGAGATTTATTTGTACTGGATGAACTTTTTGAGAAGTTTTGAGATTGTTCAGGTCACTTTGACATAAAGAAATACGATCTTTAAGAACCACCAGATTGAACCTGTATGTGAGCATCTAAATAGATTTGGCTGATCAAGACAATATTACATAGTTATGGAATCTTGAAATGAATATGAATCAAGTCAGACCAAAATGATGTTATTACCTTGAGAACCAAAATTTTTAGGTCTGATACTAAAAGTATTTGCATTTCTGGAAGCTGGTTCAAATTCAGTTAAACTCAATTTTAATACTCCAGAGTATCAATTACAATGGAGATCTGCCCTAATAACTCACCCTTACATTTGAACTGATTATGATTCAGAAGCCAAATAAGAACCTCCAAAAAAAACTCATACCACAATGATTCAGATTTGAAAAATGTGTTTAAAAATTCCTTGTGCACAATATTTTTCCGACACATTAGAAAATTCAATTTTTTTGTAAATTTCTTTTGATTTGGTGCTTTTAGCATCTTATACATACCCTGTTTTTTCGTTATAAGCTAGTAGCTTAGAAGAATAAAAAAAGTGATTTTTTTGGATCACTAGTAGCTTAGTAACGAATAGTAGCTTAGTAAAGAAATTGAACTTCAATGAAAATTTTGAATTTTTTTACTTAATAAAAGAAATTTTGCTATCTTCCCGATTTTATTTCATTGACAATGTCATAAGGCATTGAAACTGATACTTAGAAAGTTGAAAAAGATTAATTATACTTTATTTTTGGTAGTAGCTTAGTAAAGATTACATAAAAATTTCAAGATCAAAAAAACTTTACTAAGCGAGTAGCTTAGTAACGAGTAGTAGCTTATAACGAAAAAACAGGGTAATTATTATTATTATTATTATTTTATTTTAAGCTTTTAAGAGCCATGTCATGGCATTATTACATTTTAATTATATATAATTAATAAGTTTCAATGATTTAGTAAAAATCTTTGAAGAAACTTATGAAAATTTAACAGTAATTTGAGATTCAAAGGCAAAAAAATTGTTAACTGATATTCAAGATTCAAAAAAATAAAGTTCAAAAATTGATCATGTGTTTGTAAACAGAAAAAAGTTTGTCAACATAAAATTTAAATAATAATTTAAAGACATTAAAATTGGACTAATGCGGACGGTGATATCATAGAGAGGTAATGTTTCAATTAATTGCTCAAAAACTCAGTTCATAATATAAAGGATAAACATGATTTTTGAGCAAAAGTATGTAAAAGTTTATCAAAAAATATTTTTTATGTCCAAATTTTGTAAATTTATGTAAACTTTGAACGCAAATATCTCGAAAACGGCATCAAATGGCATGACCATATTAGTATGGGAGATAGATTTAGGCTTGTGCAATTGATATATATAGGTTTCAGAGAAGACATTGGAAAACTTTTTAACTTATGAATAGTTAAAGTTTTGTAAAAATACTCAGCTTTCAATTGGACTTTTAAGACTTAAAAAGCAATTTTCTGTTGATTTGGTAGTTTTAATATGCAAATCTCAGCTTAACTTAGCTAACAACAGCTAGCAGGATATCGAAATAACAACCTTAAGTAAAGAAAAATCAAAGATTTTTTTTTTCATATACAAATTGTAAACAAATTTTTGGTGAGAATAAACTAAAGGTTTCTGGAGTTAGACATCAAATTGGGACAAGATATTTTGATAGGATATGCCTCAAGTTAAGATCTTTATTCTGGCATTCGAAAGATAAAGTTTAATTAATATGATAATTTTGAATTTTTGAACATTTTTTTCGATTCTGAATCATTGTGCATACTTCTCAACATTCGATGTCAAATGGTCAAAAAATGAACAGACTGCTAATTTCATTTTCATTTGTAAATTAATTTGAAATTGAATCTTGATGATTTCTTAATTGAGGAGAACAACGAATGGAATATCTCGTGGATGAACAAATACACTCTTATATCATCGTTAATAATAATGTAAAAGTGTTAATTGCGAGTTGAGTGTTCTAATTAATGATTCAGAAGACAAGCTCGGAAATGATTATTTTCAAAAGTTTGTACTTTTATTCTGAATAATGTTATTTTCCGGGAATTATTTTTGAAGCTATTTGCTTGTCATGAACAGCAAACAACTTAGTTTTTCGATGAATGCATGAAGTGCA